CTCCCTCTGACCCTCTTCCCTCTCGTGCTCTCTCTCTCTCATTCTCTCTCTCAAATAAATAAATAAAATCTTTAAAAAAAAAAGCTTTCCTGTTACATCTTGTTTGATATTCCAAATAGACATTATAATCAACTTCTGTAACTCCAGAGATGTTAGTTTTGTTTATTTGTATTTATAATCAAGTTATTCTTTTTTTTTTTTTGAAGATTTTATTTATTTATTCATAAGAGACAGAGAGAGAGAGAGAGAGAGGCAGAGGTGGAGGAAGAAGCAGGGAGCCCGATGCGGGACTCAATCCCAGGACCCTGGGATCATGACCTGAGCTGAAAGCAGACGCTTAACCATCTGAGCCACCTAGGCGCCCTATAATCAAGTTATTCTAAGAATGGGATTTTCATTTATATAACAGACTTCAGGAAAATGATCTCTTAATAGCGTTGAGCCCTCCTCTCCAAGGTGGGGGTGGGGCTTTCCATTTCCAAAGTCTGCTTGTACGACTTCAGGAGTATTTTGTAAACTTCCCTCATGCAAATTTTGGACATGTACTATTAAGTTTATGCTTAGATATCTCATTTTAAAATTTATTTTGCTTTCATAAATGAGGTCTTTTCCATTTTGTCTTTGAACTTATTTTTGTATGTATGAAGGCTGTTGATTTTATAACTTTATTAAAGTAATAAATTCTCTCATTGCTTATTGTATTTTCATTAATTACTCAGGGCTTTCCAGACATAGTCATATTCTCTGAAAATAGGGAAAGTGTTTTCTCTTCCTTTATGATCTTAATTAGCTAATTGCTTTCTCTTGTCTGATTGCACTAAAATACCCTTATAAATGCCTGAATTAGGGGCAGCTGGGTGGCTCAGTTTTTTGATCGTCCGACTCTTGATTTCGGCTCAGGTCATGATCTCAGGGTGTTGAGATCAAGTCGCGCACCCTCTCTCTCTCAAATAAATAAATTCATCTTTAAAATGTCTGAGTAATAGTGGGCTGGAGAATGGGTGTAGGCAGCTTGCTCCGGCTTCCATAGGAGAGCCGCCCCACTCCCCATTAGGTGAGACGCCAACATCTGGGTTTTATCTTGGTGAAGGAAATGTCTATCACTTCTTATTTTACTGAGTATTTATAAACCTGCATTAGTGTTGAGTTTTGTCCCATGCCTTCTTTTTTTCATCTATAGAGGTAATCGTGATTTTCCCCTTAGTTCTGTGAATATATGGACTGTGTTCTTAGGATTTCTAATATTGGAACCAGCCTTGCATTCTTGGAATAACCCACATGAGGTCATGGTATATTGCTTTCTTAATATACTTTGGATTTGCTTTGCTAACATTTTATTGAAGGTGGTTAAGTTGATACTCATAAGTGAAATTAGTTGGTAGTTTTTTTTTTTTTTTAATGGTGTGGCTTTTGTCAGGTTTGGGGATTGTTTTGCTAATTTCATAAGATGAATTTGGAATTTGCCCCCCCTTTTTTTGAAGTAGTTTGACTAGCCATAAGATTGTTGGCTCTTCAAAGGCTTTGAAGAATTCCCCAGTGGATTTGTTGTGTGAGTGGGTTCCAAGTTCTTAAGTACTATCTTACCTTCCTGGAAGTCATGAGACCGCTGTGATCTGTGGCATCTCCTCAGCGGCTCCCCGGTGCTCATGGAGGTCAGGCCTGACTCCGGTGCTGTGGGGATCTGTTGACTTCAGTCAGTCTACTGCAAGGTCTCACTGTCCCTGTGTCTCCCTGTAGGTATGGGGCTGACGTCGACGTCAACCACCACCTGACTCCTGACATCCGGCCTCCTTTCTCCCGGCGCCTCACCTCCTTGGTGGTCTGCCCCTTGTATATCAGCGCAGCCTACCACAACCTCCAGTGCTTCAAGCTGCTTCTCCAGGCGGGGGCGAACCCCGACTTCAACTGCAATGGTCCTGTCAACACGCAGGGCTTCTACAGGGGCTCCCCCGGGTGTGTCATGGATGCTGTCCTGCGTCACGGCTGTGAGGCGGCCTTCGTCAGCCTGCTCGTAGAGTTTGGAGCCAACCTGAACCTGGTGAAGTGGGAATCCTTGGGCCCGGAGTCAAGAGGCAGAAGGAAGGTGGACCCTGAGGCGTTGCAGGTCTTTAAAGAGGCCAGAAGTAAGTGGCCTGAGTTCCCTTCTCACTTGCAGTCTGTGTGGGTCAGTTGAATGAATTGAGCTGTAGTGATTAACACAAACTCGTCCAACAAAGCACTTAGTCAGAATCTGCAGTTAGGGCTAGGAAGTTTCTAGGATACTCCCAGATTGGTCTTTTCAAATTCCTAGACACCAAGAGTTGATATAAAGAAATACATAAAAGTACATGTTCAAAGTTCCTGGAATTGTAGTCGACTGCTTTACCTCTTTGCCCTGCTTTGTGACCCCAAAGTCCTTCACTTATGCGTGGTTTTTTAGATGTTTGACAATAAATTGCAAGCCCTTCCTCCTCTAGGGGTCCTCATTCCCTTTCTTCAGTTCCACTCAAATACCGTTACTTTTATTGTGTGAAACGTCTGGTTTTTGTTAGAATTGACTCCATAGCTTGCTTATTTATGAAGGAAGATTTTGCTAATGAATCAATAAATCGATAGCCAGACTGTTTGCTGTTGATCTGGAGCTTGGTCTTCGTGTCTGAGGCTCACTCGGGGGCTCAGGAGTGGACCTTGTGTGCCTCCTGCCGGCTGCTGTGAGCCCTCTATGACCTGCCCGTGCCCGGCCTCCTCCTTGCCTGGGTCTCAAGGACATCTGAGTTGAAAACCTTTCCCCTAACCCTTGCCTCTCACAGAACTTGAGTTCATTGTGTTTTTGTTGTTGGAGTTTCCTAAGCCGGTCATTAAAACCTGCTCCCGGTGAGCCTTCCCCCAAAGAGCCGGTTCATGGTCCGCTGAAGTCGCTCTGAGAGGCTGCCTGCGTCGTGCCTGCTTCACAAGGCAGAGACGTGGCTAGGCTTTTGACCCACAACAAAACTGTGAGCCTGCACTCCTCACAGACTGCTCGGCCTGTCTGTCCTGGGTCCCCCGGGAGCTCCTGGGATTGACCAAGAGCAGAGGCTGACGGAGGGTTAGGGTCCATCGTTCACACCTGTCCGGGCCTTCAGTGGTCAGCTCTTGTTTCTGTCTAGGAAATTAAACCCGGTCAAGGAGGTGCCGTCCTGGTGAGCAGGTGCCCCAGGTGAAGGTTGCACTCCTTGCGCGGGCGGGAGGAGCGGATGACAGACCTTCCTCCCCGGGGGCCGCTCTCTCTCCGGGAAAATTGGGAAGTTGGCAGTGAGCACTTAGGGCAGCTCTGTCGGTCTCAGCCGGCCTCTGGCTAACCTCCGTCTCCCTGTCTGCCCTCGGCGTTCCAGGTGTCCCCAGGACCTTGCTGAGTCTGTGCCGTGTGGCCGTGAGAAGAGCTCTTGGCAAATACCGACTCCATCTGATTCCCTCGCTGCCTCTGCCAGACCCCATAAAAAAGTTTCTGATTCATGAGTAGAATGCAAGTGCAGCAGTTGATTGCAGTGAGGAGGAAGGTGATCTGCAGTGAAAGTCGACACCGATTCTTGCTCCCATGAACCACATCCTGTCTGTGCTGCTGACGGAATCCCATTTGGCTGTTGGTAAAGCAGAAACGGCCTTGTTCCCATGGATTGTAATTCCATCTCAGGTGCTCGGGGCATTGGACAGTCCTGGAGTCATTGTCTGCTGAAAAGTTCATACAAAACTTCATTTTGTTCTTCCTCAGTATCTCTGTTTTGGATTTTCACAGTAGCAAATTCACGAAGTGGGCCTTGAGGTGTGTGTAAGTACGGGCTGAGGTTGGAGGTCTGCTAATAGCTCCAGTGGGGAAGACTCCTAGCACTTTCCAGAACTGTGCTTCTGTTTATATTTTTACTTCTTGATTTCATTGTTTAATTAAAGCCTTCTAATACCTAAATGAAAAGAGAGTTTTGGTAAAAAAAAAAACAAAACAAACAAAAAAAAATACAGAAATGCAGTTCACGAATTTGCTGGTTGGTTTTCCCTGCTCCTGGGGGTGACATGTGGCGTCTGTCTGCACTCACCCCTTCCTTGCCGCTTCCGTGTCCTCTTCTTGTGGTAGTGTCCTCTGTTAATTGTCTTCCTTCCAGGATGGTTTCTTGGCTGGGTGGATCGGCTGTGTTAGCTCAGTCAGTAGCTGCGTTTGTTCAGAGTCTAAAGGGAGGACCTTCTGCAGTGCTGCACCTGTTTTCATACCTAACTGTGCCTCGCGGCACGCCAGCAGGTCCCACGAACTCTCTGCCCTTTCCCTTTGAGGAGCTTCCAGACACGGATTGATTTTAGGAGGGCTGCACTGAAGAACTAGCCAGTAAAATGACTGCCTGCATTTGGACCAAGGACCGCTCCAACAGCATTCACTGCCAGTTCTAACCGAAGGGGATACCAGTGGCGCTGCTTTCTAGTCCTTGCACACTCCAGGGCGGGGGGATTCACTTGTCCTCTGGATGGTTCCAGGCTTTCGGTTGCTTGGGTCCAGTGGACAAAACATCTGGCATTTGGTTGATTGCTCTTTGCCTTTTTGGACCTCATGTCTTGGTAGTTGCTCCTAGAAGCTGAGGACGGGGGCGGCAGCGAGGTCAGAAGTCTTCGCCTGGCCCACTGGGGATGCTGGTAGGTGAGACGAGCTGAGTTCTCCTCCCCGAGTCTGTGGCCGTGGGCCGGGCTCACTCACACCCGGGCCGTGCAGCTCAGTACTTGGCTGTGTCCGCAGAGGGGGGCCGTTGGCTGCCTCTCCAGAGCCCTCCAGGTGATGCTGTTTCCTAGGAAACCACCTCTGGGAGCTTGAAGCCTCCGATGACCGTTGTGTGGAATCGTGGTGATTCTGACCTTCAGAAGTGTTTAGGAGTGGGCAGATTCCAAATCTGTGTTTAGGTTTTCTGTCATAAGAGCTGTCTAATTTGTAACAATTGAATTAATGGTACAGGTTTACTTATTTACTAACAGCATTGTAGGTTTTAGTCGAGGAGACAGGCAGCATCTGTCATTGTCTTATGCAGCTCGAGGATAGAATTCTCAACCCCACCTCGTGTATCCTGGACGGCTCGGCCAGAATGCCAGGCTGTGACCTGTAGGTGCATGTGTGAGGTCCCAGGGGAGAAGGGGCCTGGATGGTTCAGAGGGAAGACACAATCACGGGAGGCTCCACGTGGCTACAGTGACCCTGTCACAAGCTGTGGCCATAGTGTAAGTGTGGGATGGCTGGCGGAGCCTGAAGTTGGGCTTGTGTGCTGCTGCTGAAGGTCTGGGCCCCTGGCCAGCTGGGCTTATGCAGAGCTGGGGGCCGCTCAGAGTGAGGCTGTGAGCTGTGGGGTGTGGGTAGCTGATGAGGGTCCTTAGAGCCTGAGCCAAGTGCCACAAGGGCTTCAGCCGAGAAGGGCCTCGGGGTGTTCTTTGTGGCATTCAGGGTGGGACCAAGACCACAGTTAGGCGGTGGCAGGAGCTGTGGGGAGGTAGGGCTCCCCGGATACAGGGAAGTTGCACTGGGCCACTGGCAGGGGCTTCATGTCCCTGGAGGTGGGAAAGCAGCAGCTGGTCACCTTCTCGGTAGGGCTGAAAGAGGAGTTCTGGAGTGGGTGGTGGTTCACCTTTTCAGCTCTTCCGACTCTGGGTCCCCCTGCCTCGGCCGTTTTAGTTCAGGGTCTCTCCAGGTGGGCCCTTTTACAGACACGTGGCACGCTCTGAATCTGCCCCACTGGGTGCTTTCTGCAGAGGTGTGTTAGGACAGGGCCTCCCCAGCCCTGCCCAGGGTAGGAGGGTAGCTCTGTTCCTGGACCTTCTGGAAAGCCGCGCTGGGAACGCTGCCAGTGCAGAAGTCTCGCACATTTGGCACGAACTTCGGGCTGTACGAGCCAAGGCCCAGTGCAGGGCGGTGTCGGGGTCTGCTGCCCGGCGAGGCCGGTGCCGGGCTTCATTCTGGGGGGTTGAACAGTTTTCCCAGGGTCTCTCTAAAATTAATGGACGGAGTTGACTCTCATAGTTGGGTCTCCCCCAGACCTGGCCAGGGAGGTAGTGTGAATCAGGAGAGATGAGCCAGGGAGCAGGAATGTGCACGGGACTGGGGCCTCTGCTCTTCCTTTGCAGAGCACCGGTTTGATTGTTCAGCCAGACTCTGCTGATGCTTTCGAAATCCTGAGAACTGTGAGGTTCAGCCTCTGGTTTGAAACTTTGTAGCTGCCAAACATGAATCTGAAAACAGTGTAGATAGTTGCTTAAGGTCATTCCTGCTTGTTTGAGTGACACTTAACTTTACCAAAGCTCCCTTTCCTTCTGTTGGCCAGGATAGGATACTGAAGAGGAAAGAGTAACTCGGTCACAACACTTTATGAAATCATGTTTCTGAGGCATGGGGCACCCAAGACCCCTGTAAAAGGAAACGTGGTGGTACTCGAGGAGGCTGCTGCCCAGTGGGCCCTGGAGCTGTCCCTAGGGACGGGCACAGCGGACCAACGGGAGTGAGCTGGAGTGTCCCCCCAGCCTGGTCCCAGGACTGCCCCAACTGTTCCCACTCGTGGGGCACCTCCTGGCCATTGAAGAGCGTCCTGCTGTGGGGCCCTTGGCTGCTGTGGACAGATGGGCAGGGGTTGGGGTCGGGGGTCAGGGGCAGTGTTGATAACCTCTGAGAATTCCGCTCTGGCATCCTGCATGCCAGAGCGGAGTCTCTTTCTCAAAGCCATCCGTGTCACGCGTGGCTGTGCCTTTTCATATTACTTATGTTATTTATATATTTATTTATTTATGTCCTGCCTTGTTCCAGAAAAGGGTTTAGGGCAGCGATGCTTGGTTTTTGATGTTCTGTTCTGACATTTGGGAAGTTTCTGTCGGCATGTACTTGTTAGGTGAGTTTAAAAAGAGGACAGTTAGCAGTTTCCTGTTGTTGACTGTGTTTCGGTTCTCAGGCTTAAGTGCCATCCTTTTTTCCTTCTTCTGAATTGATTTTTTAAATCAAAGGTTCATGTGGAAGTAGAAGGGGAGGAGGAATGTGCAGCAAGCAGAGGTCTGAGTGAAGGAAACAGCCTGAGAGAGAAGTGCTTTGCCTGCGCTTTCCCATGCGCGGGCCCCAGGAGCTGGGAGGCCGCGCTCGTGCCGGCAGCCCTCCGGCCGTGCCTGCCCCCAGGACGTGTGGGGGACACTGTACTGAGCAGTCCCTGTGGCTGTGAACTGCTGGGTGACCTTGTCCCTCCTCTTGGTGGATGTGCATTGGAGGTGGTGACGGTGCTGGAAGAGCCTGTGACCTTGGGGACCCCACGGGGCAGTCAGAGGGCTCTGTGCACGTCCGTAGGACAAGGACACATTAAATAACTTATGAAATCAATTTTATTCAACCTAAAGATTTATCTTTTATTCTGAGATAATGTCCTTCCTAATTTGGATGATAAAATGGACTTTTATGTAATGAAAGTGATAATAGAGGGCAATATTTTTATTTATTAAAATGCTCTTGGTTGGAAGATATAATGTTGGCTGCTCTTTGTCAGGTCCCAGATTTTAACTTTGCCAGTCTCTGAAGTTGCAGAGTCCGGGAACCCCAGTCTAGCTACTGTGTATGTTTACGTAATGAGGAGAATTCCTCTTGGATTCTTAATACAGCCTGTACGTTGTTGCATTTCTGCTGCTCGTAGTCTAAGAGCAAGCTCCGAGGTCACCGTGTGTGGTGTCAGCAAGTGCCTGCTTATGGTCTGGCATGACAGCTTCCCTGTGGTGACGGGCCTCTAGCCATTCCTGAATCCATGAGAAACACGCTCCAGAAGTGTTGTGTGGCTTCTCAGTGAGGGCTGCCCTTACCTCAGGCCTTGGGGGCCCATGGCCCCCCTGAGTGCCGGTGGCTCTGTGGCATGTTGGTGATGGCGCTCGTAGTGGGTCTTCTGGAACTAAGACTTCAGCTTCCACTTCTGTCCCTTTGGCCGCCCGCCAGGCACTCAGTGAGCAGTCCTGAGTGGTCCGGATTCCGCACCAACTTGGAAGTGCCTCATTTGGCCATGTGACCTCTTTCTCCCTGGCTTACTTATTACTCCCTCCAACCCCCCAGAACCTGACCCCTTGGTGTGGAATAAAATAACCGATGTGAACTCATGAATGGTTAGTGGGACTGTGTCCCAGGAGAATTCCATGGGAGGGACGTGCAGATTTTGGGGTGTAGTAATGTACAGAGTATATATATATACTGTACATTCTAGGCAGACAATCAGATGGAGAAGTGAGGCGGGGAGAAGGGGTGACTTCTGTGGCCTTAACATGAAATTGTGCAGTGTCTGGAATGCATGGGCATCCTTTTTTTTTTTTTTTTTTTTTGAGTTGGTTTGGTTTCATATCTCTACCAAGTAATGTATGAATGTGCATCAGTGCAGTTTGAGTGTGGTGTTTGTGAACGTGTGAAGTCCACCTTGCTGCCGTGGTTTAGCCAGCAGTGTCCCTGCTCTGCCCTGCCGTGTTTGCACAGCTCCCGGGGCTTGTGTGGTCGGCACAAGAATGTGACCCGCAGTGGGCCTGTGTGCCTGGAGACACGCTGACGGGAACGTTCACGGTAGACCCTGTTTGTCCCTCCTGCTTTGGGAATGAAGGCGTGTTTGCCCTCAGCAGCTGGGGCCGCGACTGTTCTTGCACTTGTGCCTGGTTAAGCGTTTCCAAAAGTATGATAGACGTCTTTGATATGCTATTGTAACTTTAATAAATGCTTTATTACCCTTTAATTCAACCCCCCCTCCCCAATGCCTTAATTTTTTGGACTGTTTATCTCAATGGGTAGAAATTGGTCTTGTGAAATCTTTGAATATACATTTCAGCCAAGTGACTGGCTCTCTGGAAAGTTTCTAATGATATGGAGAGAGGAACTTTTTTGAACTGCTCCAAGGGATTTTAGTTCTAGAGGGGCACCCAGAATGTGGCACAGATTTAAATTTCTGGCCAAGCCTGTTTTAC